CAGTGCCCATTTCTTCCATCTGAAAGGAGCGCAAGGGAAGAGGACAGCCTGTTAGCGCAAGCCTGCGGGGCGGGAGCCAAACCAAATACATTCGAGGGGCGATAATCTTTGCCAGCGCCGAGATTTTTGTTTTGTTTTGTTTTTTGTTGGATGTTTCCTGAAAGGGCATGAGGCCTTTTAGGAGCTGTGCAATTCCCGCAGGGAATCCAGTCCCTTCGATCACGGCCGGAGCCCGACGCGGGGGCGCGGAGGCTCCGCAGCTCCACGAGCGGGGCTGGGCGCTGGCAGGAGGGCGCGCTCCGATACTCACTTTCTTTTGAACTCTGTCGCTACGTCCACCCTTGCAGCATCCACCCCGAAGAAGGTCACAGAGCCGAGATAGAGCAGGGCTACGTGAACTAGTTTCATTCTGGCTGGGCTCCTGGTGGAGGGAAAAGAGAAGAATTGTAAGCATGGTTGCTAATAAAAGTCAAGTAAGGTCTGTCCTTTTTTTCTGGTGATTCCAGAGAGCTCCTTCCGTCGGAGAGCCCCCGGGCTACCGGGGACTTTGCGGTATGAACCAGAAGCTAATATTTGCTCAGCAACTTATCACAGAGTAAATAACAGAGCCTCCAAAGTTTACGTTTGTCGACAGTTTTACTTGCAGAGGCGGCTGAAAACCAGCAGGATTTCCAGAATACCCCCAGCGGCTTGCACTAGGATTTAGCAAACCCATGAGATTAGAGAGAACTGGCTATCAGACGCATCGTTTCCAAACTCCAGCAAGTGTTTTGCTGCCTGGAAGTTTATCCCCTGATAGCTCATCTTCCCACTTCACACGCAGAACCAGCTAGTTCTGGATCTTATGTTGTAAACTGCAGCTGATGCCAAAAGCCAGTGCAAGACTGCAGCGTAACTCCAAGCTCTTCAAAACAGTCCAGATTTAGTAGATTTTCACTTCCTCTCCACCTCCCCTGCATTTTTTTGTTGTTGTTGTTGAGGGGGGGGGGGGAAGAGTTCTTACCTGACAGTGAGGATAATCCACTGAGACAAATGTTCTTGTAGTAGCGATCCGAACTTGCAGGGTTTCCTGAGGAGCGAGAACTCCTTCTTTGTGTGTCTGAAGTAACCACTGCCGAGCTGCGCTCCACCGCTCCCTTTTATAGAGCAGCGCGGGGGAAGTGGGTGGACCTTGGCGTGGCTGGGCGATTTTTCTTTGACACTTACCCCCACCCCCACATCCCAAGCACTTCTTAATCGTTCTAGCGTGGATTGGGGGCAACCCAATAGGGTAAAAATAAGAGGATTATTGAAAATTATCTTAAACACCCCCCTTGGTACTTTGTTACTTATAACGACAGCTTTTAGGTGTGGATTCCGAGTCATGACATAACTTGCAAAATCTGATAAGCCCCTCAGTCTGTTTTACTGGGGACAGACTTTTTAACCGCCGATATATAATTATGTTTACACGGTCTGTAGCATAATTTCTCATTCTAGGCATCTTAACGTCAGGTGGGTGGAAGCAGGGGAGTAGGAACTAGACCCAATCAATTTCAAAATCCATGCAAATCCATCAAATACCAAAGTTCCAAAAATAAACCCATATTTGGACAACGTGAATTATAATGAGTAATTGTAATGAATACCAGTCTTCTTTACATAAGTAAGGAGGCGACAAATCAGACATCATTAATATTTATGACTCAACTTGGGTGCATTTTTTATCTAACAAAATGTATTTGATTTACTTGATCGATTCAAATAGATCACAATTTAAATGGGTTTGGAAGATGAAGGTTAGAGCGCACTTCTGTACCTTTGAACAAAGGAAGCAGTATTGCTTTGGGGCAAACACAGGGTCACTGAAAAGCTTGGGGTTATGGACGCCGGAGAAGGTTTCCCGTGCGTCGTTTTATCCCCAATCCGCAAACCTTTATGTACGTGAGAGCACTTACTTCCCCGGTTATAAAGCTAAACCAGTGCAGGATCAAGGTCTCTAACAGCATTCTCCCGTCTGCCCACCTTTTTGGTTTTTTTAGAGTCTTTAACATCTTTGCTCCGTGACGCTTCAGAAATGCAGAGGTCCGGCTTCGGAGGGGGTGCTGGAAGCCAGCACCAGGTGGACTGTTTCTCTACGTGCTTGTCGCAATGCAAATTCAGCGGAACCGAGGGAAATGCCCCAGGAGATCTGCGCCCTGGGGCGTCAGGGTCCCCTTCCCAGCGAGAGATACTCGGGAAGGAGGAAGGAATAGACTGGCGTGCGCGAGACGGTTCTCTCACATCTTGCCCCAAGCAAAGTGTTTAAAAAATCAGGTGAGTATGTACTCGTGACTCTGCCTTTCTAGATAACCGCGGTATATAACAACACCCTGGAGAGGTATGTGCAAGGGATGACGGAAACTTTCCTGTGCGCGGCTGACTCGGTCTAAGGTGATCCCTCCCTCCCTCGCCAGTAGCGTCCAGGCACCTGGAGGCTTCTGTCTCCCGCATCTACCTGTACAGGGGCAGGCTGGCCCGGGAGCCGCCACCCCGTTCAGCTGCCGCCCCTCCGTCCCTCACACGCTCTCCGCGCTATCCGCCGGCACCCGCTGGCACCCGCCGGCAGAGAGGGTCAGCGCTCTAGCTGTTCCCCATCGCATCCTCCAGTCCCCGAGCCCCCGGCACGGCTCCCGCGGGGCGAGGCAGTTTTCCCGGCCGTGAGCTGGCCGCCGGGACAAGCCCAGCGCCAGCGCGGCAGCGCGGCGGCTGGCCCCCGCGGGGGGGGGGGGCGGGCGGGGGGCGCAGTAGGAGCCGGCCCCGGGC